TGTGTGTGTGTGTGTGTGTGTGTGTGTGTGTGTGTGTGTGTGTGTGTGCGTGTGTATGCGCGATCACGGCGTTGCAATTTGAAAATCTGATGCGCCAATACACTAGGCCTATGCATATGCAAAAACTCATTTTACGCCTATTGTCATGCACACTAACAACAAACATCCCCAAAGAAATATCACTTCCTATCCAATCTGATTACAGAGTTAACTGGGTGCCAACAACGTCCAGAAATAAATACCCATTTGCACGCGCATAAAACCTAGGCTTGCTTTAAAGCCGAATTTGAAATATTTAGGTCGCACACTGGCATACAATATTCTAGTAAGTTTCAGCCCCCTGCCGTGACTGCTTGATGAAATCGCTTTTCGTCACAAATACCTCTGACGTGTCCAAAAATACTGCACAGGCGCGTACCAAAGCTCGTTTTAAGTTTTCTTACCCATTAATGCGAAGCAGATTTTTTTCGTAAAACGAGAATGTTCTAAACAGATTAGTTCAAAAATTGGCATCTTGCTAGCGATAACGAAATCTTTATTTTTCATGTGTGTATACATGGTCTAGGGTGAACCAAAGCTGAATTTGAAAGCTTTAACTCATGCACGAATATAAAACATCCCTGTGAAATTCCAGGTTCTTATCTACTCTGGTTCCCGAAAACGCTTTTTCGTCAGAAAATTTGCATGAATTTTTTTAGACATCTGCATGTGAGATGTTGTTTTTAAGCTGTTTGGATAGCACCTAAGGTAAAGAGATCTTTGTAAAATTCAAAGTTCTTGGATTCTGTGATTGCTGCGTTGAATGTGGGCGATAAAAATCAGAACATACACACAAAGGCAGCCTCTCGACAATACGCATTTACATAAAAATACACCCAGGTTGGAATGCACCAAGCTTGACGTGCGATCATGGTTTTTGCACCAAACTTGAAGTAATTAGGTTAAATGCATGGATGATTACTGCTTCACACCTATCTTGTGTGCTCACTGCCTTAAATCATCGCAAATTTTGCATAAACGCAAATAAACAATTTCTGCTTAGTGGTCGTCTTTTGAAAATGACCTAGCTGTTCAGTGAGCAGTTTTCCAGCTGGAAAATTTAAGTGCCCATACACGAGAACCACGCATACCTGGAGGTTGAATTTGAAACCTTTAAGTTGTATTTGGGCAGGGAATATTCCCCTAAAATTTTAGCTTTCCAGCTTTTCTGGTTCCCGAATTAGCAATTTTCCAATCAAAGCTTTCGCATGTTCGCACGTAGGTACCACGCGTACCTAGTAGCTGGGCTTGAAATCTTTAGCACAGGATGTATAGAGAATATCTCTGCAAAGTTTCAGCTCGCTATCTTTTCTGGTTCCCGAGATAGCCTTCTCACCAAAAAATTTGCACATTTTTTAGGCGACTACACTTGAGACCCAGACTTATGCGAGTGATCGTTTTAAGATGAGAGAGTCGCACATGGTGTGGGCACATAATTCCGAAGTTTCAACCTTCTGGCTTTCCTAGTACTCAAGTTGAAAGTCGGTAAGCAAAAATGCGAAGACACAGACACACGCACAGGCAGCCTCTTGCCACTGTGCGTTTTTGCATTTGCACATGTGCAAAAACGCATAAAAAACGTGTAAAAATGCGGAAACAGTTAAGTTACTAAAAGGCATGCTTGCTGAGAAAACAATAATTTTCCAGTTGCATTTGAAACACATCTTCACAAATATTTATTCACAGGTGGCATAAAAATGTCGTGACTCACAGAGCTAATTCTAGCTTCCGAAAAAGGCAATTCTACAGCCGCCTTGGTTGGAATTTGTATTCTTTTGATCAAACTTTTTGTGGCTCGTTGCTGATTTTGCTGCCCCGTTGACTAGGGGTTTGTCATGCAATGTTGTGATCTCTTACACTTTTTACCCAGTTCGAGAGGATTTTCTCATCCCAGGGGCGTAAAAAAGTACCCCCAATAGACGCTCCCCGTTTATAGACACTGCCGCTAACTACAATTTTATCCCAAATTGGTACAGAAGTACTAGGTTTTTAAAAAAAGATTCATGCTTTTTTAAAATCGGTTTGCAGAAGACAAATTTTCCCGGTCCCACTTCACATGGATTTGTTAATGACACAAAAAGATGAGATGTTGGCTCGATATATAATGCACCAAACTGCCATTTGAACTGAATTTCGAAAATTGCATTGTAATGCCGCTATCAGGTGATAAATAACGAAAGAGGATCAACAAATGCATTGATTTGACTAATACAAAAGCACACTACATTTACTAAAGACACAAAGACACATGAAAAGTGCAATAGCAAAGACAATCAGTGGATTTGACCATGATAATTCTAGCAAATTACAATGGTTTTTGCTTCTTTGTAACTGTTCTCAAATATCTTACAACAAATATTGTGATATACCATTCAATTTTTCGAAATTGACGAATGAAATAAAATGCGGCTGCTGTGCGCAAAAAAGGAAGTGAATAAGTGAAAAGGTATGAAATTCAGCTAAAGTACAAAAATCGCCAAAAAAACCTCTAAGAAAAAAATCAACCGACCGACGAAAATACCAATTTACAAGCAGTAAAAAACGAAAACTGAAGGAGTGTTGTGTGTTTTAAAAAACACTTGTAAAAGCACCTAGAAAATTCAAAGCTAAAATGTTAAGGAGAAATAAACCGTAGCAAAAGCGGCTGTGAGTATATTAAATATTAAATTAGTAGGACGAAGTCAAAAGTGAAGCACATCACTGAAGCAGTTAGAGTGATTCAGGGTCACTAGGAGTTACTGGGACGAAGACGTTGCGTTAAGGCAGCGTCTTTCTCCCAAACAAGTTCTTGGAATGAGGTGATGAAGGAACAACAAGCCCTTGGAATGAAGTGATGAAAGAACAATTCCGGACAAGCGAATTACACTGTGAAGAATAAGCTTACATTATAGGAAGGAAGCGTGCGAGTTTACAAGGACAAATAATTTGCAAATTTTCAAAATTATACCGAATGTCTAGCCATAAAAGTCGATCTTGCAGTATCGAGAAAGCACTTGAAAATTACCTACAACACTGAGTATTAAAAGCGACTGTTGTGAACCTTTGATGTCATCCTGATCAGCTTTCTTACTCCTACCAGTATTTTTCATACTATCAAAGTTACGCCTTTCCCTAGTTATGCTAAATGCTTGCGTAATTTTTCACAGGAAACGTAAAACGACTGCTTATTTGCCATGATCATAATCTCTTTCGAAAGCTTTTTCAAAAATGATAAAGATTTTTTTCAAATTCGAGAAAAGATTTTGCATCGAAAAGTACTTTGTTTCGTCAAGTGATAAGCGCTGCAAAGCCACAAATAAAGCATAAACGATAAAGTAATACTTTTGCCAAAAGAACGAGGGATTATTGCTTGCTCCCGAAAAAGAAGAGCCAGCTTCCTTGGTTTCTTGACCGGTCCAATCTTCTGGCTTGTGTTCGGTGCGTTTCTAGTTGGCTAGTACGCAGAGAATAACTCACCGCTTTCCACCCATAAACGAAAAAAACCGTTTGATAAGTGGGCATCATAATCATCCGGCAACTGTAAGTGTGAAAATTTAGTGCTTCATTCTCGCTATTGCGAAAAAAGGCATTGTGAATTATCTGGGGGTAACAGATGAGAAAAATCTCTTCAATAAGCAGTGTTCATAAGTCACTAAAAGCGAAGATCACATATTCACTTTTAAGTACTGTATGTTTGCGAAAGTGCGCAAACTGCTCTTAGGTATAACGTGTAGAATTCAGTCCTGCTCAGAGCTAGTGCACGAGAGGTTTGAGGAATTTCAGATGTCATCACGTCTTCAGTCAGCCAAACCGGGGAAAGGGCGCAGAGGCGTGAATACACTGATCGGCAGGCATCATCGTGTGTTACACATGAAATCGGCAGCAAACCCTTGCCGCCCAGAAGTTGTCATCAATTTGATATGTTTATCGGGAGTAAAGACGTCACTGATAACAGATCGTCTTGCATCCAGAGCGTTCGAATCATTCACGAATTTACCATACAAGAATGATTTTCGGGGCTAATATTTTCACACCGTTTAGGGAAGGTTATTAAATGGCTACTGAATCCAGTTAACTGAGAAGCTTGACAAAATAAGGTGACAAAAAAGCCATAAAACTGCTTTTAGGAAAATTATTGGCCTTAGCAGAATGAGAAATCACCGGGACTGCACAATACCTTGTCGCTTATCAGTGCTAAACTGAAGTACTGCTCTGGGCGCTGCAATTTCGAATGAAAATTTGAGCCAGTGAAAATGAAAGCATTCAACATATAATGACTTCCGATAATCTTAACCCACCCATAGTCAGCTTATGCTGAAATTTTGCAACACGACGAATTCCCTATAATTATGTTCCATTCTTCGGTAAGAACAGGTCCAGGAGAACTTTACGCTTTATCAGTACAATTTCAATGTCTTCACATCGGGCTATGCGCTACACTTTTGCTACGAAAGGCTAAATTTACAAGCACTTGTACCAAGCACGACAATGCGCAAGTACTCAGCGCATCTGTAATTTGATCGATTTTGTCAGTTTATCAACAGAAAAAACGGAGAAATTTTTAGAACTTCGCAAATACTTGATGGCGCGCAACAAAGGCAGAGCGTGATTGTTATTTCTGTGCAGGGCTGCTGAAAAGACAATTCGGCTAAGTGCACTAGTATAGTAGCAAGCAGCTGCACTGTGTCGTAACAACCGTTTTGCCCCAGTGACAGTACTTAGCTTTACCAAAATTACGAGATGTGGCCAGCTTCGCACTGCTGTACTATTCATAAGAATGCATTAAATTTGAATTTTTGTTTGCATCTCACAGCAAAACAGAGTTCAAAAGCATCTTCTCGCATCAGAGAACAAAGCGTATATCGGCTGCACTGTTGTTATTCACCAACAGACGGGCAGATGTAATAGACCAATCTTCGCATTTTGCAGTCGATGCTTTAGAAGTTACCACAGTCAATTTCTTGAAATGCACGCTAATCTAGCATCCATTAAAACAGATCTTTTGGAACAGCCGGGAATTCCTGCTGCCAAATGACAGTACAGTAATCAGAGACTTATGAAGTAACGATATACCTGATAATCCACTGGACAACAGCATACAGTTCCTGGAGCATCTACAGCACAACAGCGTGAAATACCACGGCAAGGCATCCTAAGAATATTCCGCATGCAATACGTCGTTATAAGTAACTGAGTTTATGTGTCGTTTTAGTGGACCGGTAATAAGAGAAACTTAACAATGGGTTGGTGAACAAGTGGTATAGCTGAAAAGCTGTAAACAGGTGGTCCGGAGCAGCAGTCTTTGAGAAATCGCGGTACAAAATTGCCGTTTACCTACAACAATACCAGTGCACAGCCTGCCCTAAAGCCGCCCTAAACGAAATTTTTATTATATGGCGTCAGCATCGGTTGTAAACTCCGGCAATTCAGGTTGCTGGGAACTGATCAGCTAAAAAAGTCCTTTGGTCCATGTCGGACTCAGTCCTTGCTCTTCGCCACCACCACGGGATGTAGTTTACACATACATACATAACAAAAGGAGCTCAGCTGTAAGCTATTGTGGCGGGAGTTAAGGAAATTTTCAAAGGCAAAGACTGTCTTGGCTATCAATGTGTCGACTGAGAGTGAACAAAAAAGATGAAAAGTAACCTCGGCAGTTTGATTGTTTTGAGTCATTCGTAACATTTCTCCACAGTATTTTCAGATCTTTTTTTCTTAGTTTCTGCTCTTTTTCTTATTTCGAACAGATCCCTTAGCGAAATGCAATTAAAAAAATTTTTAGAACTCTCAAAAATTATCAGCACATAACAAGGGAAGATATGCGTTCATTTTCAGTCCTATTGGCTGTAGCACAACAACCAACTGCTGGTGGATCTGTTACACGACGCTTTCCTTTCATGAGAATTGCCTAGAAAGTACCATGCATGCAATGCGACCGCATCAACAGCTCTCTAAACAGCTTGACGAGCTGTAACGTATTTAATTTCCCTGAAACAAACTCCAGATTTGATCTGACAATCTTAATCTTTAAATTTTATTACCAACAACTATTTTGATGTTTTAATAATAATTATGCAAAAATAACTATTGCTTTTGCTTATTTGGTCTGAAAACTCTATTGTTCATTTGAATTCTGCAGTTCGAACCAGTCGAATAAAATTGTCGAAATGATGCTGCGAGAGGTAGTTACAGAACTCATGAAAAAAAAAATGCTTCGGCCACAAATTGCTTCTTCGTCACAACCCATCATGTATTTTTTACGGTTTTTAATGAGCATCACTGACAGTCCTGAAGAAGCAGAAATCAATGAGTAAGGTCATCTTTGCCCCCAGCAGTAGCCAATCAACTCTAAACCCAGGCTGGAACGCACCAGGGGGGCCGGTGCGATTATGCGTTTTTGCACTTTTGGTACCGCAG